GCATTTTTGCATTAGCTTGATTCCAAATTAACATGTTGGGAAACAAGTTCTGCTGTCAGAAATGAAGGATGTCTGTAATGCTAGTTAAAGTAAGTAAAAACAGATAAAAGATGTGTTTTTTCTCCACTTTTTTTTTTTTTTTTTTTAACAAACACTCATGCATGTATTCTCTTCATATACACAAAAGAGAAGCCAAAACTAATATTAATAATGGTGACGGGACTCGAGTAAATTAATTCCTCACAGAAGTACATTGTTTAGTTTTAAGAGCTCATATTTTCTGAGTCTTAAATTTTGAATACCTATTTCTGTGGGGTTCTCAGTCTCCTGGTACTTCCAGCGATTCCTGCCCACATGGCCAGTTTTATGGGCAAGCTATGAACGAAACTGCATGGTGGCACCACACAATTGGGAACACCAACCTCGCTGGGAGTCATTTATGTAACTTTTCACTGGCAAACATGTCACGCAGGCCATGTTTATTACATGTTCCACTGTTTTACTTGATTTGTTAGTCCCAGGTAAAATTTACTGCTGAAACGTAAAACTTTGCAGTTCTAAATCTGGAATTGAGCCTCACATGCCTCCTTGCCAGGCCCCCATGGCAGCTCCTGGTGGGGACAGGGAGTGTGGCCTGGTGTGCCCGCACCCACCTGGCATTCCATGCAGGGACACCAGGACATGTTCTGTCCATTTTGGACCGTGATGGCTTAATTCAGGGAGAACAGTAGGATGGCACAGAAACATAGAATCATTAAGGTTGGAAAATACCTCTAAGATCACCTGATCCAGTCGTCAGTCCACCCCTGCCATGCCCACTAACCACGTCCTTTAGTGCCAGATCTACACATCTTGAGCACCTCCAGACTCCATCAGTGACTCTACCACATACCTGGGCAGCCCGTTCCAATGCCTCACCATGCTTTCAGAGAATAAATTTTACCTAGTATCCAACTTGAATGGGCCTCGCAACTCCCCTTTGATCTCAGCGTTGCAACTGGCATGGTGGGAAGGCAGGTGGTTCAAAATGTGAGATTTGAGAGTGAAATCACAGAGTGGGTCCATCACTGAAGTCTGACCAGTGACAAGGGGCACCACACAAGACACTTGGAGGCTCATGTTCAGGCAATTCCTTCTCAAAGCACTCGTTAGTTCTCTCCCCATGATGTCTGAGTGCCTGCAGCCTTTCCAGCACGCCTCTGCCAGCTCCTTTACACCTCGCCTTTTAAGGACATTTGGGAATTAAAAAATAAAAATACCGATATATAAATATATAGAGAGAACAACACTAGAACTAGAGTCTGTCTTTAACGCCTTATTCCCCGAGCCGCAGCAGGGACCCGGCCTCCAGGTCCTGGGCTGGAGCACTTGGGGGCAGCCCTGTCCCTTCCCTGGGCCCGTAGGAGCCCACCGGAGCCGGCCCGTCGCGTGTCCCGTGATCTAGAGGCTGTCTAACACCGGGCAACGGCACAGAGCCATTTTCTCCTCGCCACAGCCTCCCCGCCCCCTCGGCTTCGCACTCTTTGTAATAGTCTCATCCGCAAGGACGATTGAAACTTTATAGTGCATGATTCATAGAGAGGGTCTACGCTCGGAGCCGCGGTGCATATTACATTAATCAGTGTCAGGCCACTAAAACAGAGATATGAATATGAATTCTCCATATTGCAGGGGAGATAAATGTGCTTCTGAATAATTGATCGGCGCCCATGAAAAGGGGGGATGGGGAGAGAGGGGAAGGAGGGGGGGAGGGGAGGGCAGGAAAACACAATGAAAGTTATCGGGCGATCTAACGCGATGAGGACTCGGCTCGGCCCGGCGCGGCTCGGCACAGCATGGGGCTCCGGCCGAGACCCCATGGCCCGGGCCGCTGCATCACGGAGCGTCTCCGCGGGAGTGCCTTGCGGTTGTCGGCAGCGGCTCCGCGTCCCCGGAGCTGCTCGAGTTTCCGAGCGAGCACGTCAAAAACTCGACGAAAGCAACAAAAGGGATGACAGGAACCTTGAAGGATAACGATCTGAGGGCTTAAGCACACGCACACTGCTAATTTTCTCTTTCCCTTTCTCCAGGTTGCTAGTTTGGGGGGATTTTTTTTTTTTTTTTTTTCCTAGTTAAAAATAGACTTCTTTTCAAAATAAAATCGAAAAAGAATAAGAAATGAGGCACGCATACCAACGAGCACGTTCCCTAACTATGTGTAACAAAGCCAAATCCCGGTAAAGCTCCCGTTTGCTTTCAGCGTGTTCTAGCAACTGCTAATTGCAGAGTTTGCTGAACTCGGGATTCTATCAACTTTTCGGCGTTGTTTCCTCACAGATGTCTGTCATTCTTCTGCTAAGGCGAAATGACGAATAACAGCAAGAAAGCCAGAGCGTTTTCACTGGGGGACGATGGAAGATTTGCAAACGTATAAAAAATGCCTTCTGCCGCCCGTTTAAATAGCGAGAAAATGTATCCTGGCACTTGGTGCTTGTTCTAAAAGAAGTATTGCCCATCCAATTCCTATTGACTTTGTGATCAGATTCGGTCCCGTCATGGCGGGGAAAGAAGGAAAAAAAAAAGTAGAACCGAAGACTTTCCAATTTACTCTTATCAGCCCGACGCATTCCCAATTAAGGCAAATCGTTTAGCTTAAGCTCTCCCTTTGTTATTCTCCCAACCCCGTGGTATTCGCTGGTGTGCGGCTGCCAGGGCGGATCTCGATGAAAAATGGAAAATATGACCGAAAAAACTACAAATTATTTTCCTGCCAAGGTGACGTCAACGATCATTCCTCGCATCTCTCACATGACGCGAGAAAGCCGAGAAACGCGGATCCCACCCTCCCGGATCCCCCTCTCGTTTCCAAACGTGCCGAAGGGCCGCCCGGGCGCACACCTGCGGAGAGGGAGAGCTGCGCCGGGCCGGGGCAACACGGCAGCCCCGCGTCGGGCGTGGGGACACCGCCGCCCGCAGCCCACAGAGGGCGCTGCGAACCCACCCAAAATCCGGAGCCCGGAGCTCGGCCCCGCGCGGGTGTTAACCCGGCGCGCACCCGCACTCCTTTGCTCTGCGCCAAGTTCCTTCTTACGTTAATGTGCCGCAAGGAATCGCCTCTCCTCTCCCCTCAAGCTAATTTTGCACCGCCGTGTTTGCTCGGCCTCACAGGGAGCCACGGTGTGCTCTTTCGTTTCGCCCTCCGGACGGAAAGTGCCCGCCGAGAGCTTCAGAGGGGCCCGATCCCATCCACGGCTCTGGGCCGAGGTTGGGGAAGGGCCCCAAGGAGGTGCGGGGCTGCTCTGCAAATAATAGGAAAGAGAGAGCGCTTCGGTCACGTTCACACCAGTACCGATCCGACGCGTAGTTCGGAGTTACGGATGTGAGATTTTTTTTTTTTTTTTTTTTTTTTTTAAGAACATCTTCTTTCTTCCTTTTCCCGCTGGAATCCGCGTTATTACGGTTTGCTTAAAACTGCACTCTGTTCTTTTGTTGGCACCGTTACCACCGCAAAAGCTGCCTGTGATTTAGGAAAAAGAAAACAGGTCTCGTACAAAAAGCGAAGCAGCTGATGCTGTGCTGTCAAACGGGACCTCCGCAGAACGGCAGCGCTGAGCATCTCAGCCCTCTCCGTACAAATCTCTCTGCTCTATGCCCCAATCCGTGTGAAAAATGCGACTGCAGAAGTCCACCCCTTCGCCAACAGATCCCGCAGTGATAGCTCACCAACACCCGTCCGTACTTGCGAGGGCTGGGAAGCTAAATCGAGATCAATATTTGGATCTCCGAGCCGAATTTTATTAATGCTTTATTCGACAATCTCATCTTGTTTCCGACAAGCCCTGGTTTGAGGTTGGTTCGGTTTGGTTAGGGCGTCACCACATTATTTCTTAATGACTTTCCCAGCTGCTTCTTTCCATTTTCCACCATCAACAACCATCTGGTATCTTATTAGCACCTCAATGCTCATTTAGTGTCCTCATTTAGGAGAAAAAAAAGAAGGAAACACTCAAAATATTACACATTTTAACGGACAGTCCTTGGAAGATTAATGCCTTTATAAACTGATAGATTGTCTCAGCCTCTTTTTAACCGACAGATCAGAATCTGAGAACTTTCTTCTGGAAAGTGCCAGAGCTGCCACTTCTCTATGCTACGATCGTGCTTCATCTCGCAGGGAAAGATCTTTCACCGTCACATTTCCTCTGTATTTATGTAATGAGTAAATCGTTACGAATTATGTCCTAATCTATTATTTTATGGCTTCGGTCAGAATGTGTGCTGCAGCACTAGAGCTCTTCATCCCGCACAGAAAAGGGTCGGGACAGCAAAGTTATATATGTATGGAACTGTGAGAAGCCTTCTCCTTTTCGTTTTCAAGAATGCATTTTACGGCATAAGTGGAAGTAGGGTCCATTTATATCCGAAAAATTGATAGTGTGGAACATGCCTGATTCATCATAATGGACAAAATAACTAAATTCACTACTCAGGGGTCAGCTTCGCTCTGCTTAGATTTACGTGGGTGAAAAGGGAACTCGCAGGTTGCTGTCGATAGGATAGCTGGAGGGCTACCAACAGATGGGATTTGGCATACTGAGTTTCAGCTACCCGAAGGCAAAAAGTCTCGAGTTTTAAGAAAACAAGTCCGAAATGTTTGACTAGATTTGTAATATATTTTCAAGAATACATACCTGAAAGAGCTCATAATTTCATTTAGTTTATTAGACAAAAATATATGATTTAGACAAGTTTTGCTGACGCGCTATTTACAGTCTGAAATCACTCTATATACAGAAATAACACAAACACATGGGAAACATTTACCAAACAAATAATCCAAGAATGGTTAGAATAACACGATCTGAAATGGTACAGTGAAGGAGGGGATCCATCTACAGAATTGTTCAATCGCCTTTATGGATTTGCACCACGTTATTGCAAAAAAGAGATGGATGAGAGTCGTTTATATCGTTTCCTTTTTTTTTTCTCTCTCTCTCTTTCTTTTTGTTTTGTTGTTTTTTTGTGGGTTTTTTTTTTTTTTTTTTTTTTTTCTGTCCTTAAGACCAGTCTCTGTAATATTTTGTTTTTCAGCAAACCATTTAATCAAGCGGAAGGGAGAGCTGTTAAAATTCTCGGTGTTCCCTCTTGCTGAGGCAAAGAGCTGCGGGGGTGGGGGGAGGGAGGAAGGGGGAAAAAAAAAAAAAAAATAGACGTAATAATCTTTCAGTTAAAAAAAAATCCTTTCCTATAACCACCTGTCTATTGCTATAGCATCCTACTGTTAGTTAACTGCACAGAAATCTTTGTCGTTAGTGTTATTAACACAAGCTCTTTTGAGGTCTGTTAAGTTCCAGAAAAGTTACAGGCTGGCTAATGTACAATTGTAATTTAGCCTAACTTTGAAAAGATTACAGCAACTTCTCTGCTGCTCTTGTTCTCTGTATGTATTATTCTGGCGCTGATTAGGTGCTATAATTAGTCTTTATTATTCAAACGCTTTGTTTCGCATAAGTAACATTCCTGCAGTGAAAACAAACAAACAAACTCACTTGTCACGGACAGGCTGGAAGGGCGATTTGAGTGGCTGAGGTGGGGAATCGTTTCTTGGGACATTTTCTGGAAGGAGAAAGAAAACAAAACACACACACACACACACAAAATAAGAATTGGAGAACCAGTTGAGCATCAAATTAATTAACATCAGTACAGTGTACAGAAAATCAGTACAGTGCGCAGTGTGCACCTCCCTCTGCCCCCCTTGTTCAGACCCATGTAGGTGTGTGCGTACAGCACAGGTACACAGGTGTGCACAACTATTTTCAATATTTAAGGAGTATGCAAGCTTTTTTTTTTTTTTTTTTTTTTTTGCCACATTTTGCTCTATCATTGATAAGTCATGACTTGGAGATAAGGATCAGGAAGGATCCTCATCATGTGCACTGATGACCTTTAATGTCCCTTCCAACCTAAGCCCTTCTGTGATTCTAAGATTCTATGAAGGAGGGAAGGAAAGCAAAGCTTAAAGAATGTGTTTGGCAGCACTGTTCTGGCATTTTTAAGTTGTCTGATGGGCATACAGGATGAGAATGTAATAGCCCACACAAAATGGGCTTAATGCATACCCTCTACGTGCTGCAGGAAAAACTGAACACTAAGCTAAACCCTGTGCAATGCTGTTAAAGCAATCCATTACACCAGGGCTGCCTCTGACTCTGTCTCTCAAGAAGTTTGTGTGTGCATGGTGGGGCAGAAGGGAGTTGGCTGCCAGGGGTATTAGGGGTATTACCTATGTGTTTGGGACTGGTCTTCTCTGAAGGCTTTTCACTGCTTAGGGCTCCCAGGGTGGCTGTTAAAACAGAAGGCTGCTGCTGGGCCTGGAGGTGGTGGTTGTGGTGAGTGGCGTGGTGGTGATTTACTCCCAAAAACGACCTCACGTTTAGCAGGGAACTCTGTGTGAGGAAAGCCCCATTTGTCCAGTTGTGAAACTTGCCAATCTGGCACGTGTAGAGTCCATGGCTGGGGAGAAAAGCGGGATGCTGGATCTGTGGCGAAGTGTGGGTGACCTGGGCAGGGGGAGGTGGCGGGGGGGAGGATTTCAGGGCACCATCAGGGCTGGTCGCAGTCTCTGCCAAAGACCAGATCTTGGGTTTGCTGTGAGATGGCATCTGTAAATTGCTCTGTCCCCCTGGGCTGATGATTCGCGTGCTGTTGTCAGAGGCCTCCTTCACCATGGCCAGGGCATCTTTGGGATTCAGCCCTTCAGATCCTGACAGTGCCAAATCCTTGTCTTTTTCCAAGCGCTCCTCTTCACTGCTTTGTCTCAGGAGCTCGGGCTTCTCCTCCTCTTCCTCGTTGCTCTGTTCCCCATCATTTTCATCAATTTTATCTATGTCTATGCTCTCCAGGTCGATCTCCTCATCGTCCTCGGTCTTCTCAGGGTCCCCCTCATTATCACTGCCAAAAAGGTTGGCATCTTCTTGGTCCTTACTCCTGGAGCCCCAGGTCACCTTGTTCTCCTTCTTGAGGCGGCGGCGGGCATTGGCGAACCAGGTGGAGACCTGAGTGAGGGTCATCTTGGTGATGATGGCCAACATGATCTTCTCACCCTTGGTGGGGTAGGGGTTCTTGCGGTGTTCATTGAGCCAGGCCTTGAGGGTGCTGGTGCTCTCCCGGGTGGCATTTTTGGGTCGACCCGGGTCCCCGTACTGGAACTGTCCGTAGGGATAATAGCCGGGGGCAGTGTGGGCTGCGAAGGTAGCAGGGTGGACACCCGGATTATCTTTCAGCTCGTACTGGGAGCCCTGCAACACATTCAGGCAAGCGGAGAGGAAAAAGCACATCAATTATCTCGTTAGCGTCTCTCCCAGACCTGAATAGGCTGCTCCGGGAGCCGGAACGCGCTTCGGAGAGGGGCACGGGGGCTTCACACTCCAGTACGGCCCTCCCCACTTCAGGCTCCCCCACGTTTGGAGCAGGCAGAAGGGTTCCCGAGTGACCCCTGCTTCTTGCAGAGAAAGTAGAAGAGGGACCGAGCTGGGATCTGTCGGACAGAACGCGGATTTTCTCTTCAAACCAAAGCGAACCGAACGATAGGAAGGCACTAAATTCACATTCCACCACGACAATCTGCTGTGCGCTCCAAACGACCTTAGGAAGGGAAAGCAGGTAGCACAGCACAGCTAACAACTGATGCCCGCGCTCAGCGTTGGGTTTATCCGCCAAATATCCGGGGGGATATCACGCAAGCAGAGCAATCTCCTCTGGCCCCGGCTCTGCCTTTAAAAGGAGTTGGTGTGAGAGGCGGCCGGCGTGGCAATGCGCAACTTCAGCGCGGAGCCACTTCTCTGCGAGGGCTTTGCACACACAAACCTTCCCCCCAACACACAGCGATGGTGCCCCGAGAATCTGGCATGAAATAGTAACTCCCAAGTGTTGGGAGAGCCCTACCTCCGCAATGAAAGGCGATCTTTGCAGCGCGGAAAATGCATATGCGGAGACTTTATCTCCTAAGTTTTACTTTGATGTGAGCAGAGCAAACACGAACTGTTTACAAGCGTTTAGAGACGGTGATTTATTTGCAATCAATATTCTTTTTATCATCGGTAGTAAAACACAGCAAGTCACATTATCCCATCAGGTGTTTTGGTAAATAACATTTTATCTTTCTAGCGAGCTCGTTAGGCCTCATTATGACCGCAAATTGCCCAGATATTAACTTCATATTTTAGCTCCGGATTTCCTAACGCTCGGAATTTTAGAATCGATTTCCAAATATCGCCACCATGGTGAATTACTGTAGTAAAACACCGGGATGCCTTTGCAAGTAGAAAAGGAAACTGTTGCTGAATATCTGACACAGCCGTTTTCTTTCTTTCTCTCTCTCTTTTTTTTCCCCCCCTTTTTTTCTTTCCCATCACAATGTCGCTTTCTTCTGGTCCAGAAATACAATCGCAGGGTGAATCTTACGAAATGGTGTCAGGCTTAAAAATGACCCCTTCAACAGTGGCCGCAGAGAAACTGAGCTAACTTTGTCAAACATTTATAAATGAACGTACATTTCAATTTCAGAGGCAAAGCGTACACACGAAGAGAAGCCCGATGTAATTTTTATAATGTGTTACAGAGCGGGCTTTCTGCACTTCCTTTATCCCTTTTGTTATTGTTGCTGAAATTATATATTTTTTTTCCCCCGCAATCTCTGCTGGGAATTCTTTTGAAGGAGCCACTTGTAAATCACTCGCTGCCTCTGTGTCAACTTTTCGTGCATCTCCAAAATCAAGGTTAAAAATAAAAGAGGGAGACGCGTCTGCTAACGCTGCCCTCGTAGGAAGTGTTTGTAGCACAAACTGATCTGTGTTCCACTGCTGACCTCGTTCAGCAGCGCATCTGACTACCGACCTACACACTTATATGCACACACGTACTGAAGCCCTTCACCAGCCGTGCCTTGCACGCACCTCCACTCTTTTCCTTTTCGGAAGAGATCACAGAGGGGCATTGAGAGATAAAGTGCAACCTCTGCGCACCGCCGCTGAGCAATCCGCAGACACGGAGCAACGAAAACGCTTCAGCGGCGCCGAAGAGGAAAAGCTGTGAGTACAAAACGTTTCAGTTTTTTTTCTCCTATCATATTCTAAAAAAGAAAAAAAGAAAAAAAAAGAAAAATCCGAGGGCGATCGGGAGTCATTCGCTTTAAGGTTCATGCCAATATGCTTTTCTGCTCCGAGGTGGATAATGGAATGTAGATGCCCTCCTTCGCCGGATGCAAATTCGCCGCAATCGGCGGATGAAAAGTTGAGAGAACTGAGCGGACCGGGTTTGAGGCTTCGAGAAAACGCCTTAAAATAAACGGACACCGTGGCTCCCTTCTGCGGCTCCCTAACGCACTTTGGCCTTTCGGGCGGAACCTGTTCACGGCTCCGCGGGCAGAGAACGAGCAGTGGGGAAAGCCGAGCCGCCAGCCCCAGCGCTATCCACCCCCAGTCCGCAGCCGTGAAGCCGAGTCGCCGGGCCGATCTCACGGGCGCGGCACGAGCAAACTCGGCGGAGTTCCGCTCCCCCGTACCCCGCACGCACCCTTCGCTCCCACCCCGCTCTCAGCCCGGGGCCCGGCGGAGCGCACTCACCATCTGCGAGAAGAGGCCGAGGTCGGCGGTGTAGGGCAGGAAGGCGCTGTAGTTGGGGGCGCTGTAGGGCCCCGCGTACATGCCCAGCACCGAGGTGACAGCGGCCGAGCCGCTGCCCAGTTCGGCGCCCGTGGGCCGGCCCGAGGCGGCGGCGGCGGCTGCGGCGGCTGCGGCGGCGGCGGCCAGCACCCCGGGCCGCTCGCTGCCGTACACCGCCTGGCTGGCGCTGAGGTACTGCGGGTAGCCCAGCTGGGGGAAGGACATCTCCGGGGCGGCGGCACTGGCAGCACTGGCGTCGGCGGCAGGAGCGGCAGAAATATAG